TCAAAATCTACTCCTTTCCTTCTATTTCTTTTTTGAAATTAAACATTTCGAACGAAGTTTTTCATATTTCTATGTGGCTTGTTCTACGTTACGTTTTCTCGCTTTGTTTCCAGTAGTTTTAACTGCGATGTCATAGTATTGTTTCGCTATCGATAAGAGTAAAAAATTTGAAATTGCAATACTTTAGTTGGGAACAATCCACATATTTGTTTCGTTAGCGTATACGTCCCTGATGAGTCGTGTTTAAGAATATATTTATATCCAACACGTCCCTCAAAATTTACTAAGAATACAATAATGAAAAAGGCAAGATCCAAGTACATGTGTGTACGTATGTATAGACGCGCGTACATATACCGATAATATACGATGGACGATGTTAACACACGTAGAGAAGTAGGAGATGCGGTAACGATATGAACAGAGAGCTTCGAGTCTTTGCTAACGACCACGATAATCCCAGAAGGGAGTATATCGGCGTAATAACAAACATATTAATAAAAATCCGTTTTGTATCGTGCAATCGTTCTATGTAAGATACATAGAGTAATTCTGGACTGTTCGAGACGCGTTGAAACGCTTTCTCCGTGTGTTTTCGACTACTGTTTCGTTGAGTTGACTACTTCGCTATATGGTTTAACATCGAGTACAAGTACATGTGTACACGTATGCACTTATGTATAGAGAGACGCGCGCGCGCGCGTGCATACGCATACGTATACACGCACACGAACAAAAACATGCACACATGGATACATATACAGATATTAATATGATATCCTATGGATGAGTTTCTTTTTCCAGCTCTCCTCTTTGCTCAGTGGGCAAAATTGGGAGTGGAGAACCTTCCAGAACATTGATGATGAAATAATAATGTTAATAACGATGTTGATGATGATCACAATAGCGATAGTAGTAGTAGTAGCAATAGTAATATTTTATTTCAATGATAATAACGATAGTAATACTAGCAATACAGAAAGGAACAATATTAACGGTAATTTTAACGACGATAACGACAGCAACAATAATAATGACTGTGATGACGATAATAATAACTAGAACAAAAAGGAAATAATAATAATGATAATAATAATGATAATAATAATGATAATAATAATAAATATAATAAGGATAATAATAATAATAATGATAATAATAGAGTATTTGTGGTAGTAGTAGAAGTAATAATTGAGTGATTATAACAATAATAACAATAATAGTAGTAGTAATAGTGATAATAATAATAATAATGATGACAATAATAATAATAAAAATAACGATGATGAAGATAATGATAATGATAATGATAATGAGACGTTGGTTAGTAATAATGTAAATAAAAAGAAAGAGAATAGAGCAGTGACAATAGTAGTAATTTGAAAAGCTAGAGGAACAGAAATATTTCGCGCGATCGAATTGGTTAGGGGTACCTGTACCCAATTGGTAAATTCATATTGGACAATGATGATTGTAGTAGGAAAATTTCGAGAAATTGGTAGGTTTAAAATTTGTTTACAGGAACACGTGATCCGTGTACGCCGGTTTCCTATATTGTGAAGACTCGAGCGACAAAGCGCATGCCACTTTCTCGCTTTCATGGAACCACGCCATGTTGATTATTTCACTAAATTGTACATTTTGAAAAAATTTGCCTAAATTTTCCTGTTTTTCGCAATTACATAAAACACAAATTATCTAATTGGAACAATATTAGGCATGTGTCTGTTTTCTTCATCCCACAGCTCGATAATCACGAAATAAAACACGGCGAGAATCTGAAAGTAAAGATTAGCGTTCCTAATCTACGACTTTTCGTGGGGAACATACCAAAGTCAAAAGGCAAAGAGGAGATCTTGGACGAATTTGGTAAATTAACAGGTAAAGTGAATTCGAGGCGTGTGTACCTACCTATCTACCTATACCTACCTGTCTACCTGTATTGTAACTTAAGAGTGGTAGCTTTTAAGTAGTGGTTGTAGATGGTATGGAATTCTGGAGCATCCAAGAAAAAAAAGACGGTGATCGCGCGCGTGATCGCGTGATCGTGCGATCTGCGATATATAACCTGTGGCACCTTCAGTTCTGGTCAGTCTCCTTGCCTCTCGGTTTATTAGTGAACAGTAACACCTCTCTGGTCCAAGTCTTCTTTTCCTCGCATATTTAGGTTGAGTTATGAGTTACTTGCTTCCCGCTATCAGTTGTCACTTTCTCTTCCTTTCTCCTATCTTCTTGTTCTCATTGTCAACTACCATTCTCTTGGTTGCCATCACATTACCGG